TTGTGGCTCTTGATTTATATATTGCTAAATTTGTACTCCACTTTTACATCACAAGCTCAAAGTACTTATATTAGCTCTGCCTCTCTTCTTAGAGCACTTAGGCTAAATGGGGACAAGAGAAAGAGAATGAGAAAGAAATAGAATATACTGAGCTGAAAATTGGTGAGTTTCATGGTTGAAGCAGGTTGCTTTAGTCCTTATTTTCTTCTTGATGTGTTTTCTGTATTAGCAATCAAGGAGTCTCTCTCTCTCTCTCTCTCTCTCTCTCTCTCTCTCTCTCTCTCTCTCTCTCTCTCTCACACACACACACACACACACACACACACACACACACACACACATTCTTCAAAGCTTTCTTTATGGTTTATAGGAGAAAAATATATGCTCGTTGAATTAGAAGATCTTATCTCTAATACCTTAGAACAGTGGTTCTCAACCTGTGGGTCGGGACCCCATTTGGGGTCGAATGACCATTTCACGGGGGTCGCCAAACAACGCAGTCCGCCATTTTTTTCCCCTTTTCCTTAGCTGTGCTACTCCCTTTTATTCTATTGGCTTTTGAAAGCCAATGGAATAGACTCTCTTGAATAGAGTCTAATTCTATTGGCTTTCAAAAGCCAATAGGAATTGTCCAGGCTGTCTCTGCCCTGCTGAGCCCGCCAAAAGTCCCTTTCTGCAAATGGTGCTGCACCAGTTGAGTAATCCTCGACTTACGACCGGTTGAGTAGTCCTCGACTTACGACCGGTTGGGGGTCGCGGCATTAAAAAGGTTGAGAACCACTGCCTTAGAAGACATTACAACAATTCACCAAGGATGCTAGCAATGGTTATGTAAATGGTATGCTTCAGTTAATCAGTAGTACAGGTTGTCCTCAACTTACAATCATTCATTTAGTGACCATTTGAAATTATGACACTGAAAAAAAACTTATGTCTGTTTTTCACACTCAACAATCACCGCAGCATCCCCACAGTCACATGATCAAAATTCCGAAGCTTGGCAACAGTTTCATATTTATGACGTTTGCAGTGTCCTGGAGGTCATGGGATCCCCTTTTGTGACCTTCTGACAGGCAGAGTCAATGGGGAAGCCAGATTCACTTAACAACTGTGTTACTAACTTAACAGCTGCAGGGATTCACTAATTGTAGTAAAGAAAGGTCGTAAAATGGGGCAAAATTCATTTAACAAATGTTTCACTTAGCAATAGAAATTTGGGGCTTAATTGTGGTTGTAAGTTGGGGACCACCTGTATTTATCAAATATGTTGTTATTGGACTAAAAGGGAGCATCTGTGATTTTAATAGGTTATGCTGGCTATTTTTTCTGTGTAATTCTTGTAAGTTGAATATTTTTCAATTTCTAAATTTGTGTTCAGTGAATATTTTTTTATTTGTTTGAATTATTTGTATTCAAAATATGCACATTATAGAAGTGGTAATCAATAAACATAAATTATTATTTTTTAATTTAAGTTGGCTGCCTTGAGGCAGTGGATAGAAATAATGGTGGTTTTTTTTATTAAAAGCTTAAGTTCATCCTGTGGTAAGGGCTAACAACTGTTTTTAATAACATGGATATTTTTGTAGCATTATTGTTTGCACCCTGAGCTTGCTAACATTTGCAGAAGTAAGGATTTTATTTTTTGAACTGGCCCGAAAGAATATTGAAATCAAAAATTTGTGGTCCTAGTTACTGATAGGTAACATTAACAGACACTATTATTTAAACTCATACAGTTTTCTCATAGAGAAAAAGCAGACAGAAGCCCCTTGCACATATGAAATCTCCGCTTTAGTGTGGAAAAATAATTGTTTACCATTCTGTGGTCTCTTAAAAATTATTCCTTGCAGCTGGATTTAACTAAGTTAAATATCTCAGTGGGATTGCAACTGTTTTATTTGGATGCAGGATTGCTCTTCCACTGGGACCTTTTCTCTCTCCCATGACCCTTATGTTGTTAGTTGCTGTTAAGTCAATGTCAACTCGTCATGACCCAGTGAATGGCTGAACTGAACTGTGCTCAGTTTTAGATAGCTGATCCTTGCTAGGATGGCATCAGGGGCCACTGCTATTGTATCAACCCTTCACCCTGCTGGTCTTTCCGTTTCTTATTTTCTTTCAACCCCACTAAGCAGGAGATTTTTCTCTAATTATTCATCTCTTTGCCTAAAGTGCTCATAGCATGAAGCCTAGTCTTGTCATTCGAGTTTTAATGGAAAGTTTAGCTTTGATTTCCTCAATATTGACTAGTATGTTTATCAGGCAATCCCTGATATCTGGAGTATCCTTTGCCAAGTTTATTACTCAAAGACATGTGGGGTTTTTTTCTCTCTTCATCTTGTGCCTCAGTTGTTCAACTTGCACATCCATATTATGTTCTTGAAAATATCATGGTCAGAACAAATCAGATCTTGATACATGAATATTTTTTTCTGTACTTAAAAGAACTTGTTTAGGCGTTACACGGTCATTTTTCCAACAGTAATTCATTATTTGGGTGCTTATAGTTTCATTACTTATCAAATTGTCAGCTATATCTGTTTCCTCTCAATCAAGGACAAAATTACTGATATCACCAGTTGTTAGAAACTTTTTCCTCTTTCATTAAAGTATAGGCCTACTTTGAGACTCTGCTCTTTGATCTTGACAAGCAGATAGTTCAGAACATTTTCATACAGAGCCAATAATTTAGTATCATAAGCACAATAACAACTTTCATTATGCATGATCCTTATATCTTCTATAAGCTATGAAATTTTATTTTTGAAAGTTGGGGATTCATTTAGAGCAGTCTTACGAATGGGACTATTGCCCTTTTCCATTTGATGCTGTCGAAGTCGATGGCCTCTTCTCATCTCTTTATTTTCATAAAAGTTTCAGTAGGGAAACCTGATTTTCATGCCATAGGTAGAAATTTGGTAGTCAAGGGATAGATTCCAGAGAACTAGACTAAAAAAATGAAAGCCAATGTTGACTTAAAAAGACAGGAGAAAGAGGCTCCACTATAGAGAAATTTCCTGACAATGAGAACTATTACTCAATAGAACGACTTGCCCCTGAAAATTCTGGGTGCTTCATCACTGGAGATTTTGAAGAAGAGACTAGATAGCCATTTGTCCAGAATGGTATAGGATTTCCTGCTCAATCAGGGGGTTGGATTAGAAGACCTTCAAGATCCCTTCTAACTCTGTTATTCTGTATTCTGTTAATCTGTTATATGTATTCTTTGTTCACCAAATTTTGAGTGGAATGTGGAGCTAAGAGAAAGTTTTACTTGTATTCTGGCTTAGGAATTCTGGGAGTTGAAGTCCACGAGTCATAAAAGAACCAAGGTTGCCTACCCCTGGCCTAGAGGATGTTCTTCTGACCGTGTGAATATACAGTATATTCATATATTGGATGTAACTTAAAGTAACTTAAATAGTTACTTTTAATTAAACTTAAATATAGAATGCTGCGACCCATGGTTCCTGTGAGAATGAAATTCGTGGAAGTTGTAGCTGCTTCAGCATCATCACACCTTCCAACCATACTTCTCAGAATCCTATAGGTTGGGTGGCACAAGGGAAGGTGGGAGAGCCATTTCCTTTCCTACCTCTCTCTGACCCCTGCATCCAATCAGATGGAGACTAGGTCTGACAGGCAAGTGGCTGCTTTGAAACTGAATGTGAAATGTCTTAATGGAGGTGGGCGGTGAGAGAAAGATGAGGGAGGGATTCAGATACCTGCTGGCAAGTTAGGGCTGGCTGGGGGACACTAGTAGTGAGTGGGTGAACCCTCTTCCTTCCTGGGGGAGGGGGCTCTTGGGATCATACCAGGATGAGGAACAGGGGGCACAATATTCCTTATGGTCCATGGCTCCTTTTGTTCCTCTTCTTCCCAGCAAAATGGCAGACAGTTCTGCGGGTCAGCCAAGGAGGACTGATTTTTGACGCTCCCTGCCAGCTTTCCACAAGCACAGTCAGTGGGGAAGCTGGTGGGAAGTCATTCTGCTGCTCTGTTTAGTTAGGAAATATCTCTAAAATGATGACCCAATGGGTGACTGACTGTCTCTGTATGTGTGTGTACCTCAGATTATAATTCTCATAGTAATATATGATACAACAAATTCTTACAAAGGCAACAGCCAATCAAATGTGAGTGTCCACAAGAATGCTTTTTGTATTTTTGAATATAAAACATAGAAGGTCTGGCATGAAATATAATGTCTCCCTGAGGAGAGAAGATGGATAGGACTATTAAAAAACTCCCAATAAATGAATATCTTGGCTTGTGGATCTCATATTCAAGCCCAACAACTGTCTTTCATATATATTGACCTACAGTCCCATAATTTTGAACAAGGATCAGATGCTACGTGGATTGTTATCTATTTTATCTAAAGAATACCAGGTCATCAGAATCTGACTTAGACACACAGTCATACAATAGGCAAATATGACAGTGGTGTACTTCGGACTTTAAAAGCTGCAAAAATAGTTTAATCATTAATTATCATGCTGTTAAAAGAAATCCTAATAGAGTGATGTGAATCATTACATTGTTAAAAAAATATTGCTTTTTTAAAAAAAATATATCAAGAAGTACCTTCCAAAGAAATATGGCTTTCATTTGAATCAATTGTAAACCTTTTTTTCATATTTTTTTTCCTGTGGCAGAATTTTAATAGATAAAATGTTATAAATGTTAGTAGAGAGAATGTTAAGCTACTAGTACATATCAAATATATGATAGCTTGCATTATTTCTCATATTGTTAAGTGTACCACATCACAATGTTTCCACATTATTGTATCATTGTGCAGCACTTAGTTTTTTTTTTAAAAAAAAACAATATAAGAATTTGAAAGAAAAATCCTGTTTTTGTTGAAAATAAGAGATCTTAACAGCTTCACTTTGCTCTGACAATAAGTTTAAACATATTGTAGTTCAGTATTAATTGAATATCAAAATATATTTCTAAGTCTTTTCCTTTCTTTTTTCTCCTTCTCCTTTCAGGGGCTTTGGAAAGCAAGGGTTTCAATGCCAAGGTAAGATACAAATGGTTTTATAATGGTTTCTATTTCTGTTTTAATAATCAAATCTAGGTAATGTATGAACCATACCTCAAGAAGGAATTAAGCATGTTAAAAGGAGGATATTAAATTATCTAAGAGGATGTGTATTGTTTAATCATTTATCTCATGAACTGTGAATCATGCACACTTTCATTTCAGCAGAGTTTCCTAAAATTAAATGTCATGTAATCTGCATATAGAGAAGTCTTTAATTTTTCATGAAAAGAATCTTTGTGGTTTATTTTGGTAGGGAACATTTTTCTTGTCGGGAGCTGCTGTCTCTGTGTGGGTGTTTTGAAAAAAGTGGTTTCACTCTCTGTTGGGTTTCCTTTAATACTCCCTTCTACCTTTTCCCTCAGTTATTAATCGGCATCAGTTTTATATTCAGCTGGACCTTTGGTCATTGATTTATAGTTTGTTTATTTTGTGGCACAGTGTAAGAGAAAACAAACTATTTCAAAGCAGTGTCGGCTGCTTGCAGTGAAGTCTTTTAAATCTTGGGATGGAGAAGAAATCTGTTTCTGTAAACTGCATTATTAACATATTAAGTCATAATATGTACTCAACAAAGGTGAAGCATATGCTTTGAAAATGAATACGAAAACTAACTTGCCACACATCAGACTTAAAAATTCATCTACCACAGTATGATCTATGCCAGATCTCAGCAGCCCTCAAAGGATTTGGACAGAAGACTTATTCAGCTATTTCATTTTCTCTTGCCTGGGGATTTTATGGATTGAAACTAGAAATTTCTGCCTTTGAAATATGTGCCTTGGCCTCTTTCCTGATGCCTGTAACTTTATCATGGATATCCTTTCCCTGAGATGGCGATGGAGCATTAATGTACTATTAATATCTCTAAGCAATATTCTTCCTGTTTATAATTTAATATTGTTATTGAATGTTGATTGTATAAGTTAGTGTTTTACCATGGAAACCATTTGTATTAGCTAGATGAATGAAGAAGCATTTAGTCGAATAATTTCATCCTGTCAGAGAGCAACTGATGGTAACAGCTGACGATTGCTACATGATACCTATAAGATTTTTTTTTAAAAGCCTTTGCCCTGTGGTTGTCTGATCTGATTATCGACTTGATAAACGCTGTTGGCATGAACCTTTGCAGGGGTCATGACCACCACACCACAAAAACTATATTTAACGGTTGTGAAATTTGAGCCACGAGATCTGATTTTAGAGGGATACTGAAAAGGAAAAGGGCATTAAATTACAATCTCTTACAGCTAATAGCTAGCAGTATATTGTTGAATCTTGTCACACTAACAAAAGAGATGGTTTTCCTTGTATTAAATGTTCAAAAGGTAGAGAAATTTGGTGCCACTTTGTGAGAACCAGAATGTTCCCAGTTCAAATAGTTCCTTTGTTGCCTTAAATAACCTCCTGGTCATGTTACCATCTCTGAGAAGGAGATTCAGAGAGTCCTTGACTTAACAACCATTCCTTTAGTGACTGTCCAAAGTTACAATGGCGCTGAAAAAGTGACTTATGAGTCACGTATAAGTTTTCACACTTACGACCATTGCAGCATCTCCGTAGTCATGTAATCAAAATTCATTTAATGACCATTCAAAGTTACAGCAGCACTGAAAAAAGGGACTCACGGATTTTTTTCAAACTTATGATCGTTGCAGCATCCCCAGGGTCACGTGATCCCCTTTTGTGACTTTCTGACAAGCAAAGTCAATAGGAAAGCCAGATTCACTTAATAACGTCACTAATTTAGAAACTGCAGTGATTCACTTAACAGCTGTGGCAAGAAAGCTTGTAAAATGGGGCAAAATTCATTTAACAATTGTCTTGCTTAGCAACAAAAATTTTGGGCTCAATTGTGGTCATAAATCGAGGACTACTATACATTTTCTTTGGAGCAGTTTATCAGAATTGGTATGAATTCGTTCCAAGTGCTATAGTAGTGCTAGATTTTACACTGTACTGTTCCTAGTACAGATATTCATGGTCCATTAGAAAGCTAATGTTATACAGTAGTTCAGCTGTTGAATTAGAATCAGGAAGATCCAAGTTTTGATCCATCCCTAACCATGGAGATTCACTGGTTCCCTTTGGGGTAGGTACACTTTCTCAGTTCAATGTTATTACTAGGAAAAAATATGTTTATGTGCTTGTGTGCACTTGAGCACTTGAATGAAATGTGGAATATACATTTAATCAAATAAATAAAATGATTTCCAAGAGAAGGTTCTTCAATACAAACTTTCTAATGAAAGCCTGCAGTTAAGCATGTCTGTTTATTTCTCCATTGTCATGCACTTCAGTTCAGTCACTTTGAATCTTTGGATTGTAAATATTAAATTTGTAAATATGGCCTTTAAACTCTGGAGGCATCTGATCTCAAACACAGAAAACAACTCCATTGGAGTTGCTTCAGGAAGCGATTAGTAAAATATAAGCAATGTAAACATCCAGCATGAAAGCCAAGCTACTGTCGAAAGAAAAATTATCAGATCCAGTCCAAGCCGGGAATAACAAAATGGAAACTGCTTAGGAAAGAAGGTTCAGTTTATTTAGTTGCCAGAAACTTCAGCGATATAGCATGTTTCTGGGGTGTCTGACAAAATGGAGCTGGGAGTGGTGGATTTTTATACCTTCTTTGGGCTTTGTATTTGAGGTTGTTCCTGTGGCTTTGTATTTGAAGTTCTTCCTGTTCCTGTGGCATGTACTTTGACCTGAGCTTGAGTATGCCCTTTTGGTATTCTAATAGTGTGTGTGTGTGTGTGTGTGTGTGCGCGCGCACGCGCGTGTGTGGTTAATCCTATTATGTCCTAAAGGTCAGGTCCTCTGGGGCTGTGGCTGAAGGCATTTTGCTTATGAATAGGTGGCCCAGTCTTTCTGACTAGGATTATCAAATCTGCATTTCTACAGAGCTGGCCTACTCAGTTTCTGCCTGGGGAAACTTGGGCAGAAAAACCTTTAAAGATTTTTTTTCTCCATTATTTCTTTGGGGAAATATAATATTTTGCCTTTTTTAATATTCCCCCAAATATTTCCTTTTTTGGAGGGTTGGGATGCTTACTTCTTACACTACTATAGGGATTTATTTCTTTATATTTGCTCCTTTGCCTGCTCCTAAATGCTGCATTAACCTCTTTGAATTAGGCTGGGTTTTTTCTGAGAATGTCAGATATGTTGCAGAATTTGCAGAAGTTTAGGCTAATTTGGTCAACAACTGTGATCAATTAACTTGAGATTGTATTCTTGTGAACGGACTGATAACAAATGCTCTAATTTTGCATCTCACAATGTTCCTTGTCTCAACATGTGCCCCTTGAGCACTTGAATGAAATGTGGGATATAAATTTAATAAATAAATAACATGATTTCCAAGAGGAAGGTTCTTTAGCTCAAACTTTCCAATAATGGGCACGTCTATTCATTTCTCCATTGTCATGAACTTCAGTCCCTTTGAACCTTTGGATTGTAAATATTAAATTTGTAAACATGGCCTTTAAACTCTGGAGGCATCTGATCTCAAACACAGAAAAACAACTTCATTGGAGCCTATGCTTCAGGAAGCGATTAGCAAAATATAAGCAATGTAAACATCCAGCATGAATTCCAATCAATTATAGGGATTTATTTTCTTTATACTTGCTCCCTTGCCTGCTCCTAATAGTGCTGCATTAACTTCTTTGAATTAGGCTGGGATTTTTTCTGAGACTGCCAGATGTGTTGCAGAATTTGCTAAAGTTTAGGCCAATTTGGTCAGCAGCTGTGATCAATTAATTTGAGGTTGTATTCTTGTGAATGGACTGACAACAAATGCTCTAATTTTGCATCTCACAATGTTTCTTGAACCAAGAGTTTCTTTTTTCTTTTTCTACAACACAGTCCTTTTTCTGAAACAGTTTTTGACAATTTTGTGTTTCTTTTTTTTTTCTTTGATAGCTTGGGCTTTAATTCCCCTAATTCTCTTAGCAAGTTTGGCATTGAAAATATCTGGAGGGTCCTAAGTAGAAAAATGGTGCTAGAGGCTGTAATAGTAGCATTCTGAACTTGGATAACCAGTTAAGGAAATACTTAATTTAATTACACAACTGGCAATTGACTAAATTGCCCTGGCAATTGGTTATCTCCTTCAGTGATCTACAATTGAAATACAAACATGCTGTCAATCTCACATTTATGTGTGAACTTTCAAATGCTTTATTTTCAATATATAACCTACTCTTGCATGAATTATTTTATTGATACCACTGACAAATTTGGGGATGTGGGCACAAGTAGTTTAAAATGTTGGCAATTTGATTTATGTCATGTATTATTTTTTACATATACTTAACTAATGTGCATTGCGGAAAGGAACAGAGTCATTATAGTTGATTTGTGTATTTAGTTAGAAGGAATGTTATGGCTGTCTTGGCTTGGAATCTAAATTATCATAAACAAAACTCTGTTAATGGGATATTTCCTTTGCAAGTAGAGAAGAGCGGGCTACTTATGAATATTCTTCCTGTATTGTTAGAGGACCTTCAGAAAAGGATTTTGTGCTCTAACTGAGCCATGTTGTGAATTTAAGGAATCTTTCTATTTATAAAATGGCAACAAGGATCCAGACTCTTCAGTATAATTTCCCCCCTAAACTGTGCCATTTCTTGCTATATTTAGGCAGCTGCAAGAGATTTCCAAGCAAAAGTAAATATTTTCAAATGAAAATCCTATTTATTAAAATCACACCAGCTATTTAAAGGGCACAAGTTAAAAGAAATTCAGTAGTGATTATGTGGCACTGACTGTTAATGAAAGAGAGAAAAAAAGAGGGGGAACTTTATGTGGCCTGATGCATGGGAGATTGTCCAGCTATCATATCCTTCTCAGTCTTACTTTGCTTTTAGCTGAAAAACTACTGGTTTTCATTACAGCGCTGTTATAATGTAATAGTTACTGACAAGTTTTTTCCTAGTTGTCAAACTGTCCAGAAGGTTTCCTTCTTG